TGTGTGTGTGTTAGGCCCCATTCACATGTAGCGACATACCTTTGCAGCGGCCGGGATAGCGCGACTTTCGGGGGCGACGGTCGCGCGACCTTCTCCGTCGGGCTCCGTAGAAAAAAAGCAAAATCCGCCGAAAAAAGGGTCCGGTACTACCGGTAGAAGCGACCGCGACGAGCGACGCGCGACATGGAGCTAAGACAGCTCCATTGACTATCATTAGCCTGGCGACTTCTCGCGATATCGCGCGGCAAAAATGCGCGATATCGCGGCGGAAATCGCGCGATAAGTCGCTACATGTGACCGGGGCTTTAGACTAAAGGGCTTCCCTGGAATAGCAGCATTTAAAGTCAATCTCCAGACAAAGGGGTTATTTGTTGGAGGGGTTAGAAGCTCTGTCAGGTTTTTGCTGATGATGAGTCAAGGCGGCGTGTGCTCTCTATACAGGCCGCTCTCGGGTCATGCACCGGGGTCCTCGGAGTGAAGTCTTCATATGACAGATGAACTGTGTGCGCACACAAATGATGCAGATGTGTTTCTCCATAGAGCAAAAAAGGATCAAAGTCAGCTTTGTGTGCACCAGACCGAGGTATTACCTTGTAAAAGTAGCAGCGGCATCATCGCTGTGCTGTACACAGCCCGTGCGGAGAGCAGGGCTGTGGGAGGGGCCCACGCAGGACCCACCCACTACTGGAAACTACAGGAGGGGGCAGGGACAAGACCAGTCACCCTGCACAAGGAGAGAGAGCAACAGTGACTGGTCTTTATTACAGGAAGCTCCACCCACTACAGACTGCCTGTAGAAAACGACAGTAGGGGGCGGAGACAAGACCAGTCACCCTGCACAAGGAGTGGAAGCAGCAGTGACCGGTCTTTATTACAGGAGGTGGGTGGAGACAAGACCAGTCACCCTGCACAAGGAGAGAGCAGCAGTGATTGGTCTTTATTACAGGAGAGGGGCGGAGACAAGACCAGTAACCATGTAAAGGAGAGAGCAGCAGGGTCTGGTCTTTATTACAGGAGGGGCGGAGACAAGACCAGTCACCCTGCACAAGGAGAGAGCAGCAGTGATTGGTCTTTATTACAGGAGGGGGCAGAGACAAGACCAGTCACCCTGTAAAAGGAGAGAGAGCAGTGATTGGTCTTTATTACAGGAGGGGGCGGAGACAAGACCAGTCATCCTGCACAAGGAGTGGAAGCAGCAGTGACTGGTCTTTATTACAGGAGGGGGCGGAGACAAGACCAGTCACTCTGTAAAAGGAGAGAGAGCAGTGATTGGTCTTTATTACAGGAGGGGGCGGAGACAAGACCAGTCACCCTGTAAAAGGAGAGAGCAGCAGTGATTGGTCTTTATTACAGGAGGGGGCGGAGACAAGACCAGTGACCCTGCACAAGAACAGACAGCAGCAGTGAGCGGTCTTTATTACAGGAGGGGGCGGAGACAAGACCAGTCACCCTGCACAAGGAGAGAGAGCAGCAGTGGCTGGTCTTTATTACAGGAAGCTCCAAGTCTCACACTGGATTGCTGCACAGATCTGGAAGAAATACACAAAGCTGACCGAGATTCAGGAAGAATACAAAGGATTCTAGTGTGAGGACGATCTTTGTCTTCTGCTTTCCTTGCTATCTTCTGTGAACTACAGAACACCTCCACCAATGTAATGGAGATGAGAAGAGGGGGAGGAAATCGGAACCAGAAGAGCAGTGTAGGGTGACAACCCTGGTCCACCATAGATACAGTACAGTGAGTGAGTGTTGTCTGTCCCCGCTATGAAGAGTCGCCCTCACTCACTTCCTGTCCTGAAGACCATTGTGGGGACAGAAATCCAAACGTTTACAGCTGTCCATCAGAACATGAAGGGAGGAGAAATCTTTCCATGGGAACAATTGTTCCGGTGATAACGGTCTAAGAGGAAACGTCTACTTGCAGTGTTTTCCTCTCATTTCCTGTTGTGTCTTTGAAACAGGAAATGAAAAGAAATACATTTCCTCCATTAGGCAATATGTGTGCAAAGCGGTTAGTCCCTCACTGCAGTGCTCACCTTAAAGCTGAACTCCGGCATCAGCAGGTATCGTCCTCATACCAGAGTCCTGTGTGTTCTTCCAGATCTGTGCCGTCATCCAGTGTGAGACTTCCTGTAATAAAGACCGGTCACTGCTGGTCTCTCCCCTTGTGCAGGGTGACTGGTCTTGTCTCCGCCTCCTCCTGTAATAAAGACCAATCACCGCTGCTCTCTGTTCTTGTGCAGGGTGACTGGTCTTGTCTCCGCCCCCTCCTGTAATAAAGACCAATCACCGCTGCTCTCTGTTCTTGTGCAGGATGACTGGTCTTGTCTCCGCCCCCCTCCTGTAATAAAGACCGCTCACTGCCGCTCTCTCACCTTGTGCAGGGTGACTGGTCTTGTCTCCGCCTCCTGGGAATGATGTGACTGTGGGGGGGAAGGGGCATTAGACTGTAAGCTCCTCTGTACAGGGACTGATGTGACTGTGGGGAGGGGACATTAGAGTGTAAGCTCCTCTGTACTGAGGCTGATGTGACTGTGGGGGGGACATTAGAGTGTAAGCTCCTCTGTACTGAGGCTGATGTGACTGTGGGGGGGACATTAGAGTGTAAGCTCCTCTGTACTGAGGCTGATGTGACTGTGGGGGGGACATTAGAGTGTAAGCTCCTCTGTACTGAGGCTGATGTGACTGTGGGGGGGACATTAGAGTGTAAGCTCCTCTGTACTGAGGCTGATGTGACTGTGGGGGGGACATTAGAGTGTAAGCTCCTCTGTACTGAGGCTGATGTGACTGTGGGGGGGACATTAGAGTGTAAGCTCCTCTGTACTGAGGCTGATGTGACTGTGGGGGGGACATTAGAGTGTAAGCTCCTCTGTACTGAGGCTGATGTGACTGTGGGGGGGACATTAGAGTGTAAGCTCCTCTGTACTGAGGCTGATGTGACTGTGGGGGGGACATTAGAGTGTAAGCTCCTCTGTACTGAGGCTGATGTGACTGTGGGGGGGACATTAGAGTGTAAGCTCCTCTGTACTGAGGCTGATGTGACTGTGGGGGGGACATTAGAGTGTAAGCTCCTCTGTACTGAGGCTGATGTGACTGTGGGGGGGACATTAGAGTGTAAGCTCCTCTGTACTGAGGCTGATGTGACTGTGGGGGGGACATTAGAGTGTAAGCTCCTCTGTACTGAGGCTGATGTGACTGTGGGGGGGACATTAGAGTGTAAGCTCCTCTGTACTGAGGCTGATGTGACTGTGGGGGGGACATTAGAGTGTAAGCTCCTCTGTACAGAGACTGATGTGACTGGGAGGGGACATTAGAGTGTAAGCTCCTCTGGTGCAGCGTTGGGGGGTACCATTCGTACCGGTGGGGGGTTTTGGCGTCCAGGGAGGGCGCGGGGAGGTTTATTATTTGTGGGTCTATAATATGTACTTTCCTGTTTATAGCCCAGTCCGGCATTATAACAACTTTACAAGTGCGCACAGCTGCACACTGATTACATTCTCCGTGTGTGATGATTTTTGTATAAACGAGCGTTCCTTCCGCAGCGCACATTGTAATCAAGGTTCCGCTCGTCTCCAGAACAGATGGGGGGGCGGCCGGGTCCAGTGGGTCTGAGCCCACCCTCCACGGTACGTATATATTCTACACACTACACTGGGGGATTGGGGCGCTTCCCCCCATCAGACCGGAGCTTGTCACCCTAAACGAATGACTCCGCCCCTTTCTTGTCATCCTTTATTTGTATCAAATCCACAAAATCATCAAAAAGGACAAAAATTATATAAAATCCAAATAATTAAAATATCTGGAATGTACAGAGACTGATGTGACTGCTCAGTGTCCTCTGTACAGCGCCGCGGTATATGTCAGAGGTATATAATATGATATTTTACAACAACATCTCAGCCATTGCACACAATGCAGTTTGATCCAACATTATTTGTTTAGTTAAGAGTTGAAAATGAAAGGGAGAAGCTGATTGGTTGCCGTGCACGGCTGCTCCAGATTCTGATACATTCCCCCTGTGTATGTTTACTGATGAGTCCCGGATGGGGGTCTGCAAATCTTTTTCCTAAATACAGCGGAACACACACAGTGACAGGGACACAACGGCACACGCACACACCCTGCAGCCGTGTAACAGTCCGCCATGAACACGCGTGTCATTATTATTATTAGAGGAGCCTCAGTGTGAATGCAGAGAGTACAATACAACGCTAGGCGTAGGATTCCCATTGGTGTCACCCCTCCAATGGTGTCACCCGGGTGCGGGCCGCACCCCCCGCCCCCGCCTTGTGACGTCATCGCGCACGGTCAAAGACGACGCTGCGGTGGTGTCACCCGGTGACACTCGGGACGCCCCTGGCTGGGCAACTCCGGCATTCCAGCTGTTGTGGAACTACAAGTCCCATGAGGCGTCGCAAGGCTGACAGTTACAGGCATGGCTCCCAGAGGCAGAGGCATGATGGGACTTGTAGTTACAGCACAGCTGGAGTGGCCGGAGTGTCCCGGTTACCGGGCCGGAGTCGTCGTCCCGTCCCCCCCCCGGTGTATAGTGAACCTTCTATGATTGGGAAGAGGAAAAAATATAAAATATTTCTCCATCAAACATCAAATTTGGGGAAAATGTGGAGGAA